AAATAAAATCTTTAAAAAACATTAAGTAAATAAATAAATAAAAATAAAAATGTTCGGTCTTAAAAAACGATTGCTTATTAAGTCGACTTTGTAAGCTACACTGATCATTTAAGGGGATAGTGCTTTTCTTCACCTTAACCAAGTTTTCACTCCTTTTCATAATATTTGGGTGTGGGGGAGGCACAATGACAACCAGACAACATAAAACCTGAGTTTGAGATCTGTGATCAGAATCTTCTCCATCAAAGGCGGCTCTCTTCTATATAAACAAATATTTCAAAGTCACTTTCATTTTATTACAAATGTGTGTATGGATAGAAACAAACTTCTTGTTTTTTAAATAATACCTGCCGTTTTTACTGCTCCATTGAATGCAATGAGAAACATAAAGAATCTCTCTGAGGTGCGGGGGAACCGGCTCAGGGATGCAGATGCATTCACATATCTGAGGGCCTCGATTTCTCACCATCACGCCCTCTTTTGCCTCTTAGGATTTGGTGCTGTCAGACCACATGGCTGTATTTTTAGTCAATACTGTTATTGCTTTTTTTAAAAAAACACATTTTACGGAAAACTTCCTTATCAGTATTTTACCAAAACACTTTACAAATTAAGGTCTTTAGAGACATCAGTATTAAATAGAATCAACAAAGATCAATATGATGGTCAAATCATCAATAAGTATTTTCGCCACAAGCTATGTGGTTAATCTCAGTCTCCTTTGGACTCATATTTATTGAGCATCTGTATGCCAGGTACTGCGTTAGTACTCAGTATACAAAGGTAATCAAATGAGACACAGCTCCGCTTAAATGGAACTTACAGTTTGAAAGGAGAATAGACAATCGAATAAGCACAAAGTTAGAAACTGTAATAAATGCAATAAAGGAAAAGTTCATTGAGAACATGTGACAGAAGGACTTGACCTCATGAGGGACTGAGATGGGCAGGAAACATCTGGGAAGTCTTCCCTGTGGAAATCACCTTTCAGCTAAGATCTAGAGGACAAATAGGCAAAGGGAAGAGAGTAGATTGGAAAGCTTTCTGGGCAGAGGAGTCACATGTGCAAAGGCCCTGAGGTAGTAAAGAGCATGGGAAAATTAGAGGGATGGAAAAGAGGCCAGTACAGCCTGCAAGCTGAGAGCCCTCAACAGACTGGCAGGGGTCAGCAGTGCAGCTGGAGAGCTGGCAGGGGCCAGGCCACATCGCAGAGCCTCATAGCCAGGCTGTCACATGGGGCTGACCCTAAGACTAATGGGAAGTATGAGTTTTAAGCAGAAGAATGACAGGATCCAATGTGTGGTTTTGCAAGATTACACTTGTTGAAGAGTTGAGAATGGACTGGGTTGGGCTTATTGCCGAGTTCAGACGAGAGCTGATGGTATCCTGCACTCTGGCAATGGAGAGAAGTGAAGTGGGTGGTCCCAGAGGCCGTTAGGGAGGTTTCACAGCATTTGATGATGGTCTAGACAGACATGGGGATGAGAGAGACGGAAGCCTCCAGGATGACCTCCAGGTTCACAGACCAGGGTCTCTGGGGCTTGTAATTGTGATCGGTGCCTTCATACAAGGCATAAACTTTGTCATTCAATAATGACAAAAACAGGCTCAGACTGGTCACATTCCCAAGGTGATTTTGAAGTGAATGTTGAAGGCAGTGTCTAGTGTTCATTTGCTTGTTTGCTTGTTGTTATACTGATTCTGGCCTTGGCTCATTTTAGTTGCTAAGAAGTCTCATGATTTTTCATTTGAAAAAAGTTGATTTTCACCTATCATATTAAGAGGAATGTTTCTCTATAGTTATTTCTCAGAGTTTTTCTCCCATAAGAGAGCAGGATTTAGGTTCATTTGTAACTCCATAATTTTTAAAATCCATCAATAAAATTATTAACATCAGTGTGTTAAATAGTTACCTTGGTAAATCTTAGACGTCTAAGATTGACAGCTGCTGCCTACAATTCCTGTGTTATAGTTTGAAGTGGGACATCGTCTTCATGCCCTGGCTCATGGTGGGGTGTCCTAGGGACCATCACATGTCATTCACCTCGCTCAATTTCAAGTTCTTCTAAATTGCCTTCCTCTTGATTATTTTCAAATTATATTTCAGACTTCTAATTTTTAGCCATCAATCGATATTCTCATGAACATATCATTTTTCCAACATTTCATTATGAAATTTTACAAACATAGAGAAGAGTTAGAGGAATTTTAAGTAAATATGCACATGCCCACCGCATGGTTCTACAGTTAACATTTTGCTTGATCATATATTTGCCCATCTGTCTATCCCTCGATTCATCTGGTTCCATGCAGACAGAACACAAAGCCACAGTGACCTCCTGGAGCTCCACAGTTCAGTCAGCTGGCCTGTGGGGTCCAAGGAAAGACAAGAAAGGGGTGTTTTGCATGTAATCTGGGGAGCCATGGGACTTTGTTCCTAAAGGAGAGAGATTTGTGACTCAGAAAAGCTAGGTATTTAAAAATCACTTGCTTTTGAGCTAAAGCTGATTGAGAAAACAATTTACAAGGCAAAAGTGGTTTGTATCCAAAATTCGTGCTGCGCTCAGTAGTTTTGTGGCAAATGGTCTTTATCTCTAAAGGCAAAACATAAAACAGTTGCTCGCAGAAGAAATAAAAAGGTCCCATACTTGTGGGATAAATGAGTCAAAGCCCTCAGTCACAGTAAGAGCAGGATCTCACACAGGCTGGCCACGTAATTGTTTCTGTAATTATGTGGAATGGACTGTGCAGAATAATTCGTAGAAAACCCCTATTTTAGCACTTCAATTGACATGATTATTTTTCAATGGTTCAGTCAAGCCGGAACATTTTACCTGTATGTGACGCATATGGACTTCTGGCTATTATAGTTGATGTTGCTAAACCATACTAATCCTCCTTTATAGACAGTCCTACACACTCGCCTGTCTTGTTTCTCGAGGTAACTTTTTCCATTCAGCGAGTGGCTGCGAAGGTTTGGTGGTCTGAGCGACTGGAGTAGGTGGATTGAGCGGCAAAGCAGCAGGATTGTACGCGTCGACGAGAGGCGCCCGAGCGCGGTGTCTTAGTTAAAAACACAAATGCAGAACCCCAAAGCAAGCATATTTATCCTTCCCAGTGTTAATGACTTCATTCATCATTTGGCAGATATTCATTGAGCATTAGCACAAAAAAAAAAATCGATAATGAGAAAGAACTGGTGCTAAACTGCATCTCAAGTTCAGGTCTTAGAGTGAAGAAACATTTTGTAAATTCACTCTGCCCATCATTGAGGAGCATTTGAAGAGCATTTTAAAATCCTAAGCTTAAATTCAGGTTACTTTCGTATTACAGAAAAGTTTTATAACATGCCTGAAATATAAGCAGGTTATTTATTAGCCTTATAAAAATCTTAAATTTTGTTATAGCTTTTAGTCTTTCTGCATTTCTGCAAACTGTCAAAATGAGGCCAGCTGACTGGAGACTTCCATGTCCTGCTCAGAAAGTACATCCCTTGGGTATCTTCTGCTCTCGGGCTCAGCCGTTCCTATAAGGGTCTGGATGTAATAGAGCATTTCCAGCATTATCACTCATACATCTTTCATCTGTTCATATTATCTGTGCAGCTTCTTGCTTTCCTGAAGTCTTCAGAGCTTTTCAATGAAATTGTTTGGCCGGAAATGTAGCTAATACCGTATTTAAAATCTCTTTCTCTTGTTTTACCAAACTTCTGAACAACTTTAGATTCACAAGATTCATCGGGATTCAGGAGACAATTCTCAGACAGGTGAGAATACTTCCGCTTCGCTGTTACCCACCCAAGCTGCATTTGCGGGTTCACGTCTGTAGATTACTCTGCAGAGTCAAGTGGACGATCCCCACCGCAGAGCTCGGATTGCCAAAATCCAAGCGCTGATATCAGACGGCTGGAGAGCCAGAATAAAAGCAGAATCCCTTAAGAAGTTTTGAATCTTCATTCTACTGAATGCCTTCCCCATCCTGGTTTTCTTTTGCTGGCTGGAGACCATGTAGAAGATAAACCCAAAACAGAGAGTGACCGGAAAGTCCAGGGCAGACACGTTGTTGTTAGACTGCGCTCAGTCTTCCCTTCTGTTCGGCAGTTGGAGACTGTACAGTTAGCATGCGGATGGGCCCTGCCCCGGGGGTCAGCAGCACTGAGCCACCATTTCCCCTCCCCACGCCCTCTCCTCATACCTTGGGCAAGACTGATTGTGTGACCCTGGGCCATAAAATGAGGGGCTGGACCTGATGACTTCTGCATTCGAAAGGTCTGGAGTTCTCTGAGCATTCCAGGGGAAAATCAGTCTGCTACCAAAGGTTTAAAATTCTTGTCCTCTCCCCTGTCGGTGGCTTTCCCAGCCAGTCATGCATAAAGTAAGACCCTGGGCCACCTATGTAGTCCCCCTCCTTGATTCTGGGATGGACCATATTTTAGCCCACTCAGAAAGATTTCATTTGCTTTTTCTGAGCTTCAGTTTCTTCACTTGTAAAATGAATTAGCAATACCCAAAGGAGAAAATGTACATATAATATCCTGCAGTACCTGGCATTAACTGTTTGGTATGCTCCTTCCCTTCCCCACCCCCACCCCGCTTTTTCTCTTCCTCTCTCTCCTTCTCAAATGTTTTCATTTTATTTCTTAAAACACTTAGAGTAACAGTATTATTTTAACTAACTTCTGAGGTTCTGGGTGTCAAAAACTGTTACAACCATTTTAATATCCTTTACAGCGCCCAGCACTTTCTTGCCCGTAATAGACACTCAGTAAATACTCACACAACATCAATAAATTGAAACCGTCCCATCTTGGAAAGCATAGGTTCCACCACTGATTAGCTCTTTGATCTTGAGCTACCTATGTAATCTCTCCAAGTTTAAATTTCTTCATCAGTAAAATGGGGATCACATGATGTAGCTTTCAAATTGTTACAATGATCATATAAGATAATTACTATATTTAGAGTCAATATTCAAGCACAATGTCTGGTGCACAATAGGTGCTCAGTGAGTGGGAGCTGTTTTTAATTGGTGACACTGTATCCCTTTTTGCCATTGAGTACAACTATTTAAAATCTCCTTTATCCTTCTTTTTTCTGGTTTTTAAATTCACTCCACAAGCATCTGTTGAGAAAATGAATAATGAATTCTTTGATTTAAATGGGCTTTATTGAAGAATAATTTATCCAAACTTTTAATCATTTCTATTGCTATAGATTCTCTTAACTTTAGCTGATAAAAAAATCAGGAAGAATAAGCATTGTCCATCTTTGAATAATTTCTAATGAATGATTTAGAATTCAGCCAACCAGCCTGGGGACCACAGCCATGAAACTAACCTCCCTACCTTAGTTTTATTTAGAAACTAGATTTTGAGGAATTCTTGTGTTCTTTAATCTTGAATTTAATCTTAACTCTTTAATAAGTTAGATTTAATTTATTATCTGATAAACAAATGTTAGTAATGTATATGATTATGAGGTCCCTGAATTGGCTAAGAAGGAATGTCTGGCAAGTGACCACTGTTAGTTTCTCAGGTTTGATCCTAACAATGGCATTTGAAGTCCCTTTACCTGTAGGTGTCTTTATAAAAAAATACTGAGACTCATATCCAGGGGTAGAGTCTGGAAGACAAAATCAAGCAAAGGGACATAAACAGTTTAAGTTAGATCATTTAAGACAAGGCTCTGTGGCGCTCAGATTAACTTGATAGTAGTTCTGCCTTTCACTTCATGCTGTACAAATATAATTCAGGTTTATATTATTGACTTAACCTTTTTTTTAATTGAATCAGATTTTTTTAGGGCATTAAAGCAGATGGTTAAAAAGGTGATCTAGAAAAGTGTCTAAGACATATGAAGTGAAAACAGGTAATAGAACAAGATTATAACACCATCTCATGTGTGCCTAAAAAGAGGGTAGATGTGCAAATGCACAGGTGTCACCACCAACAATAGCCAGCATGAACTGCACATTCACTGTGTAGCAGGCACTGTGCTAAGTGCCACCCATGGATTAACTCGCTTACACTCACAACAGCCGGTGCGTGAGATGCTATAGCTACCCCCACTTTACAGATGTGGACACTGGAACACAGAAGTTGCCTTCCCAAGCTTTGCGTAGATGGTGCAGTGGAGATCTGCGTTTTGGCAATTTGGCTTTGGAGCTGGCTCTCTTAACTTGCACCTTTTTTGGTGTCACTAGACAATTCTTAAAGTGTTAGTGCATCTTTTTTTCTTGGAATATGATCACTTATTGGTGCCTGAAAACTACATTCTCCTGCTGGAAGCTGCATGTCTGCCGCCTGTCTTAGCACAGTAAGGAGCAATTCCGTGTTGCGGTTAAGTTTCTCCCTTTGCTCATGGGTTGCTCCCCCAAGAAGCAAAAGCCCTGAAAGTGGGTGCTTCTGAAGCCATCTCTGCTGCCCTGACACTTTTGTCCTTGGTTCTCACTAGTGGAATGTACTCTCTGCTTAGATCATGCGTTAATGTGACAGCACATTTTGAGTGTTAAATTCAAAGTCTGCAAAGATTAATGCGGAATTTTTTAAGTGCTTTTTCCCCTCAGAAAATGGGGACAGACGTGAGAGTTCAGTTGTTGCAAACTGTTGGGACTGTAAAACTGCTTTCTCTTCTCTTCCTTCCTGGGATCAACAGTGCACATCATTTGATGAAGTCATGTCCTCAGGAGAACCTAGAAGGCCATCCAGAGGTCTGGTTTTTCAGAGGGGCCTACAATCCAGCCAAATGAGTTTCTCAAATAAATTCCACTCTCTGTGCATTTCACTGGTATTTTACTTCCTCAAATATCCCCATAACAGCATTCCCTACCCAGGTAAATGTATTGTCCTTCAGGTCAAAATGATGCAAAAAAACTTCCCCCAAGTGTTAGTGTTTATTTTCAAAAAGCTATTTTATTAATGGAACTAAATAACCTTTGATAATCAGCCCAGGACGTAATGTGGTGCCACAAGAAAAAGACATCATTTTACAATGAATATGACTGGCAGTGCCGTGTATGTGGATGATTTGAAGAGAAAGTGGTTTACTATTTCTTAAAAATATTTCATAGTGCCTAAAAAGTAACCTTGTTTTCTTTGGAGAATGAGTGGTCTAAACTTCACCTGTGAATAAGCTGTAACTGACCCCTCTCCATTACTCACCTGCCACCCTCAGAGTCCCACTCATTCAGATACAAGAACAGGAGGAAAGAGTCCATTGACGTGAAGTCGATATCGTCTCGAGGCAGTGATGGTAAGACGTTTTTCAGATTTCTTTGACCTTTTTAAAGTGTAGAAAATGACAGAGGAATATAGTCAAGAATTTGTCAGCATGTAAACAAAACCCCAAGAAGTAAGATTTCAACTAAAGCGGCTTCTTACCCATAGGCTGAAAATTTTTTAGGCCTTTTTATTCTTTTTTGCTTTTTACTGAGTCTTCTCTTTGAAATGACTCTGTGCTTGTTCCCTGACGGCCTAAAGTGTGTTGGGCCACGTAACCACCAGAGCAGCTCCAAGATTCTGAGCTTCTTGTCCCCAGGACAAACCTACTCTTCCATGTAGCTTCTTTCCCTCACTAAAATGGTACGGGAAAACTGAGAGACAAAACTTAGCAAAACATTTCTGCTCTGCAAAGCAGAAGTTAGCAAAGCATTTTGAGTTCAGTCAGTCAGGCCTAAGTAATCAGTTGGATTTGCAGGGAGGTGGGAAAGTTAGAGCGGTTCTGAAATGTCATTCCTAGGTACATGGGAAGATTCTAATACAGAAATAGGATGGCTCCGTGAATGGCTAGGTGAGGGGCTGAGGACCAGGTGGTGTGTTCTATTTCAGTGGAGATGCCAAGGAAGCTAAAGTGCAAGCCTGATCTGAGGGCTAGAGACGTGGATTTGGGAGTCCTAGAGGTGACAGATGAAGCCCTGAGCAGAGGAACCTCTCAAGGGGTGTGTGTGCGTGTGTGTGATAAAAGAACAGAGGGTCTAAGTCCAGAGCTTGAAGGCACTCCCTCAGTGAGAGGGGAGGCAGGAGAAACATGAAGAGGCCAATGACAAGGACAGCAGAGCTGGGAGTGAACCTGTGAGTACAGTGTCCCATGAACCAAGAACAGGAGGGTGCGGAAGAAAGGAGATGGCCAGCAGTGTTAAATGCTGCAGAGACCAAAGAGCTTAAGAACTGGAGCAGACGAGTGGATTTCACTCATTCATTTAGTTTTTATTTGGCAAACGGGAGGACAGATTCTAAGGGCATGAGGAGAGGATGGTTAGTGACTGTGACAGAGAGGAGAGAAGTGGGGTGCTGACTTAAGGCAATAAAGAGGAAGAGCAAGTGAGGGACCTTTCAGTCCTTCAGTCACAATGGGAACCTGAGTCTGAGGGAAGCGGACCAGCAAGGACCGAAGACAACAGAGAGAAGATGGATAATTCACAGAGAAAGGTGCATGAGGTCACAGGGCCAGCAAGAGATTGGGACCAAGAATGTAAAGAAAGAAGATGGACTGAAATATTTTCAGAACGATTGAGGGGGTAGATAGACAGAACACTTCAGATGGAGAGGATGATGGGTGAAGGGATTTCAACTGGATTGACTCAGTTTTCAGCGTAGAGTTGGAGATGGGATCATCATCTCTCCAGAGCAGCGGGGCAGTGGAGGTTGAAGATAGAAGAGGTCTGTGGTGGCGGCTGCACTGGCAGCAGAGAGGACCGCAGGGATGGCAGAGCCACAAGCAGGCTCCAGTGATGTCAGCTAGATGGAGTTACCCCAGCCATGACATGCAGATCCTATCCCTGTCCCCGCCTCACAGGGAGTGGTAGGAAGAGCTAATGAGAACAGTGCTTATAAAGCATCTACCTTTTGAATTTTGAACCACATGTAAGCATTACCTGTTCAAAAAAATAAAAACAAAATTATTTTAAAATGGAAATTTCTGCAGATTAGAGCTCAAAGCACCATGGGTTCTGGGTAGTAAGAACCTAAAGGCTCAGGGAGGAGGAGGGCCTGACCCCAATTCACACTGAGAGTAGACTCTTCCTTCTGCCCCCGCCCTAACCCTGGACCATGCCTGCCCTCCCGTACTGCAGTCATCCAGTTACATGGCCAGTGGCCGAGGACTGAAAGTGATGGAACTGCCCAAGCTGGGCTTTAGTGACTTATGGGGAAGGAAGTCCTGGGGGATCGTTAGGCTGTTGGGATGGGGCCTCAGGATGCCACCTTCTCTGAAATTCCCCTTGTGGACCTGGGACTTGTGAGCCTTCCTGCCATCAAAGTTCCAGGCCAGACCACCCTTTCCAAACTCTGGCAAGTAGTGGCTGAGCTCTCAGCCTTTTAGGATTAAGAGATGGGTGAATTCATTGCTTTCTGGGGAGTGGTGGGGGGTCATAGTCCTGGAAAATCAGGGCCCTAGTCCATGAAGGGCTCCTTGGCTGCACTTAGCCAAGCCGAGCCATGAGAATCAAATACAACTTTCTTGACTTCTCTCCAGCACCAAGCCTACAGAATCGTCGCTATCCATCCATGGCAAGGATCCATTCCATGACCATCGAGGCTCCCATCACAAAGGTGAGTGGCAGCTGCTGCCTCCACTCTGCGTTCAGGGCCACCCAGCACTGGGCTATGTTCTAGAAATACGGTGATAAATGCCATACCACTGATATCATAGAGTTTACAGTCTAATAGAGGAAACAGATATTAAACAAATAAACACATAATAACTAACTATGTAGTTATAAATTATAATAACTGCTGTAAAGGAAAACAGGGTTCTATGAGAGAAAAGGCCCTATTTTGTTTGGGTGGTCAAGGAGGGTCTCTCATGGAGGAGGTAATGTTTGAAGTAAGACCTGAAGCCTGCAAAGATGTTGGCGAGGAGAAGAGCTAGGCAGCAGGCACAGCAAGGGATGAAGCAGTGAGGCGGGAAAAGGGGGGCTGGAGGACCTGAAAGAAAGTCAGGGGGGCTGGAGCTTGGAGAGCAGAGAGGAGAAGCTGGTGACGTGGAGTTGTCCAGGGTTCCATTCATTCTGCCCAACTGGGCTGTAATAAAGAGTTTATGCTTTAGTTTCTGTGCAGTGAAGAGTTTAAAGTAGGGGAGTGACATGGTCAGGTACCTTTATTGAAAAGCTGCCATGCAGAAAATGGATTGGAGATGGCAAGAGTGAAAGAGAAGAGGCCAGTTAGGGGGGTTTTCCAGAATTCCAGGCAAGAAATGGTGTTAGCTGTTCTAGAATTATAGCACTGGAGGTGGAGAGAAATGAACAGATGAAGAAATATTTAGGGGTAGAAGCAGTTTGACTTGGTGATGAGTTATGTTGTCAGGGTGGGGAGAGAAATGAGCGAAAGTGACATGTCCACCAGCGCCTCCCAGGTTTTTGGTTTGAACACAGAATGGTTAGGAACAGTTTTTTCACTGGAGCAGTGTAGAAACCAGAGAAGCAGCACAGCTCTGGTCTTTCATTTTTGCTGTCCGTTTACTTGCTTTGGGGACAGGGGAGCAGGGTCATGAGTTTGGACATGTAAGTAAGATATTCTAATAGGCGCATCAGGTAGGCAATGAGTATATAAGTCTGCAGTTCAAAAAGGAGTTCAGGGCTGGGCCGTCAATTTGAGAGTCCTTGGCATATGGATTGTAAGTGTCCAAAGTCATGGAAATGAAAGAGCTCACCTCTGGAAGGACTGCAGAGGGAGACAACGGCCCAGCACCTATCTCAGAGCCACTCCAGCCTGGAGGAGAGAGTGAGGGAGAAAGACCGGCAAAGGAGCCTGAAAAAGATGTGGTCCCTGCAGTGGGAGAAGCGTCAGGAGAGGGTGGGGTGACCGCGGGCTTCCGCAAGCAGGGAGTGGCGCCCCGAAAGCACTGGCCATTCTGAACACTAAGATGTGTTGTCATCAGACTTATTTTGGATTCCGGGCATTTGTATGACTTTTGGGAAGTAGACTCCTGATGTCCTCAAATTTATTCTTTCTCTGTTTCTTTCCTTGCTTAGGTTATAAATATAATTAATGCAGCCCAAGAAAACAGCCCCGTCACAGTAGCAGAAGCCTTGGACAGAGTTTTAGAAATTTTACGGACCACAGAACTGTACTCCCCTCAGCTGGGTACCAAAGATGAAGACCCTCACACCAGTGATCTTGTTGGAGGCCTGATGACTGTGAGTGATGAGGAAAAATGGGCAATGCAGGGGAGACGACATTAAGTGCACTCCAGAGTACATAGAACACGTACGCATAACATGTAACAGAGTACATATAACATGTAACATAGAAACCGTGACCCAGTGCAGAAATACCTGTTGTGTGAGCTAATGTCAGCATACCCAGAAGCTCCTGCATCAAAATTTGTATATTACCTGTGTGGCATTATTCAATTAATTCTTGCATTTATCTTTCCATGAAGCTGACTGACCGACCACAGTAGCGGGAGACAGTCCTTCAGAATTGGCATTACAGTCAAGAGTATCTGGGCAGTTGACTGAGGGCTAAATATGCACAACGGACCTTGCCTACTTCTTCCTCCTGACCTGGTCCAGTACTGGATTGAGGATTGTGGCCAGGACCTCAGGCTCTTTATCTACATAATGAAAGAGTCTGTACTTAGACTACAGTACTATTTTCCAAAATCTTAGGTGTAGAATCCTTTCTTTAAATAAAAACTTACATGGAGATTCTCTTTAAATCAGATAAAAGCAGAGTGGAGCTGCTCTGGCTCGGCAGGGGGAGGGGAGGAGGAGCCAGCACTCCACCACCACCATTTGCAACCACCAAGAGTAGCTGATTTCTAAGGGCGCCTCCTGTTCCAGTGTTTTGCCGTGATCTATCATCATCTATCAGCAAGTGAAGAAAAAGAAAATGCAGATTGTTCATTTGTGCTCCTTATCAGCGGTCGACGCTGGGAGAATTCTTTGGGAGAAAAACAAAGTCCAAGAGTCATCTCAGAGTTTTACTTAGAAGGTTTCCGTCTAGCCCTGCCACCAAATGCTGAGTCTTTGGCTGGCTGGTTGGTCCATTCTCCTTGCTCCTACTGAAGGTCTCTGATGAGCCTGTAGTTTGAGTGACTTCCTGTTCCTTTCCTGCCCCCGGGCTAGCACTGGTTGCCCCATCCCAGTGCATGGTAGACTTCAGGGTCTGTCAGGAGCATGGCTGGCTGCTGCAGAGCTGAGCAGGACAACTCTGGTTCCTGGAACAAGTATGGCCCTCCTGCCCCTGCCGCTGTACTGTGGCGGGTTCCTCTCCAGGCAGTGCTGGGAGGAACCAGTGCAAGATTCCACCCATTCCTATGTGGCTTTAGGGAAGAGGAGAAAGAAAGGCAAAGAAAAAAAGAGGAGTCCCTTGTGATATATGCCTTAGAGGCAGGACACTTGTGGCCATTGTTACCTATTTATTTATCTAGCTCTAGAAATTAAGCTCTTGGCCTGAGGATCCAAGGTGTGACATCAGGGGAGCCCTTCATTAGTACTTTAAACCTTAGCACACGCTTTCTAGGGAAGACAAATAATCAATTATAAATGACTCTTAAACAAAGATCTAAATAATTAGGTACTCAAGGGGAGTAGAAGGTAGAGGGAAGGAAGCTGAGATGCAAGAACACCTGGGGACTAGAAGAAGTTCAAGATCCCAGCAAATGGCAGAACGCTGAAATTCTGTCCACTCCTTATGCTACCCCTCCAAAGACTTCAGATCCAGAAACTGCTCTTTTAAAGGCTAGCAGCTATGCTCATGTTGCAAAACAGAAAATAAAATTGGAAAAAATTAATTTAGATACTAGTCAAAAATTAGCCCAATCTTTTTAAGGCTTCACATTGTCATCCCCAAAATGTGGCCCATGGCGTTGCTGTGGCTCCCCAATATGTAAATCTAAGAACTCAAGAATGACACAGTCCCTGTGAGAGTAAGTGGGGTCCCTTCAAAATAACATGCATCCAAAGGAAGATCCCTGCTGTGATGTCACCAATGTGGCTTCAAAATGCCAGGAGACCAGAGCCAACTCACAGCTCAGGTGTGAGACCTGAAGACAGTCACAGCCCTTTATTCTCGGTTCTCCCTCTCCTGGAGCTAAGAGGATCCTCTGTCTTGTAGCTATTGTTCTGATTTAATTTTGAGCTTCAACTTAGAGTGCCAGGTTGACTGGGTTATGCAGGATTCAGATCTCTTTGGCTAGTGAAAGGACTGAGAGAATGATGATAACGGAATGTAAAGCATGCTTCTAAAGCCAGCGTCTGTCTGTCTTCCAGGACGGCTTGCGAAGGCTGTCAGGAAACGAGTATGTGTTCACTAAGAGTAAGTCGTTTTCCGTGCGCTTGTTCCTGATGACTGTCTCTGGCCGGGGCCTTCCCCCAGTGCTGTGGTGATTGCTTGGGGAGGGCTTTGCTGTTCCCTCCTGTTGCTCTAATTAGAGTGGGAGCATCTCTATGGTCTACATTTGAAACCAAGTCTCCTAATTAAAATTACTTCTCTGAGCACTGTCAGAATAAGAACTGCAAATGTCTATACATTTAAACAGACAGTTAAACTGAATTATTTTTCTATCTGGGGTCTTGACTTTTAATAATGTAAGAGAAAAGCCTTGAAGTGAAAATCGTGGTACCCTTGGAAGTTCAAGACTTTCTTTCTAGTAGAAATCACGAAGATGACAAGTGCTCAGGGGCACTCAAGATTCTGCAATTAACCAGCCTCCCTGCCCATCTGTTTGCTCAGACGTGCACCAGAGTCACAGTCACCTGGCGATGCCAATAACCATCAACGATGTCCCCCCTTCTATCGCTCAATTACTCGATAATGAGGAAAGCTGGGAGTTCAACATCTTTGAACTGGAAGCTGTTACACATAAAAGGTACGTGGCTCCTCTGGCCGCAGGCAGGGGAGGACAATGCCCATGTTGAAGATTTTCACGTCTGGGAACTTTGAGGGAGACGCGGGTCTTTGCCACCAGAGACCTCACAGGTCCTGCCTGAGTCTCCTGCCATGCTAGAGGAGTGTCGAACCAGCAGACACCATGGCCCCTGAGCAGGCTCGTTTATGGAGACTATTAGTGGGTGGGATGTGGGGTCAACCTGGTGATGACCCAGGATGAGAAAATTCTGAGCGTCCTTCTCAGATCTACCAGGTCATTCATTTGTGCTGGTGAGCCAAGAGTTCTAAGTATTCTTAGTCCCAAACTTGGTGAAGCCCCACCCGAAATGATGGGTTTGAGAGCACTCTAGACTTCTTTTGATCCGTCCTGTAGGCAGGGGAAAGATTAGATAACCCAGAGTCCTCTTCTAGAGGAGGAGGACGCTATTCCTTCCTGGGGTGTTGGTCTACAAGATATGAATGATTTTCACCTGTAAATAAACCCCATGACTCTAAATGATATGACCACTGAGGCCACGCAAGCTGTTCCTTTTGTCCTTAGGCTCAGTAATTTCCTCAGGAGACATGAAGGAAGTGCAGAGCTCCTGTGGAAGTAGAGATAGAGAGGGACTGCTGGGGACCTTTCCTG